CGTCCACTCCGGAGGGAGGAGCCTGCAGCAAGACGCCATGGATGGATGCAAGTGTCACAGCGGCGATCCGTATCGCTTGGATCTTACTTGGATCGACGCGAGCTAGGCAGGCTGTACCACTGCAGTTCATGCATGCACGCACGTAGTATATCTGGGCGGATCAACAAGTTAATTTAGAAAAGATTTAGCAATATTTGCTCATTCATTCCGAGTCCGAAGCGTATGTTTTCTGGTCTGGGGCTGGGGCTGGGGCTGGGGCTAGCTACTGGTACCACTAGGTGACAAGTGACAAGGCCTCCGTGCGTCCGTCAGGCCAGGAAAGAAGAAGGGCGTGTGCAGCTTTTCTGCTCTGGTGTGCCTGTGACTGTGAGTGTGAGGAGGTGTGCATGCAGCTGCTGTCCGCCTGTCCTCCAGCTCGCCCCGCTCATACTACTCTGCTGCGCGCCTTCCCAGCAATCATTGACGCCTTCGTCTACGCAGGCCATTTCTTGCTAAGCTCGACCGATCGACAGAAAGATTCATCAATTCCATTCGTCGGATGATATAATAATAATTTAACAACACGATACGATCGAATTGCCGCGGAGTAAAATATGCTTGCTGGAAAAAGGAAGTAAACAACGAATCGGGAGAATGGGTGGCCGCGTCGCCGCCCGTCGTCGGCGCGGTGTCGCGATCCGCACGAACTGTCGCCTCGCCTCGCCTTTGGGGGCAATCATTGGGCCTGGGCTGGGAGATGCCTCCGTCCATCCCTCTCATTCTTTTCTCTCTCGGCAGAAGCGATCTTGCTAATTGAGGAGGGATTAAGAACAGCTTGTGCGACGTCAGCGTGGACCATGGCGGACCTGTTTTAGGCAGTAAGTAATTTTCTCGCTGCCTGCAATGCGAATACAAGCGGCGGGCGGGCGGCTCACGTTTTTCCTAGGCACATTTTGATGCGGCGCCTCCTAAGCTCCACCATTATATATACTTCGGCTGCCTGCTGGTTCCCTTCCGCTGGTGTTGGCTGGCTGTGCTGGCTCTCCTGTCCCCTCTCCCCTTCCCCAAACCCCTCCCCCTTTCCAATCATCGGCACCTGAGCAGCAGGAGGAGGAGGAGGAAGAAGCCGCAGCCCACAGGTTTCCTGCCTCCCCTGCTTTTTGCTGCTTCTCCACCTCCCCTGTTTTCCTCATGCATGGATTCTTGCCACCCAGCTCTCCCTGCATAAGTTTCTTCTCATCTTCCATGATGATGTTTCTGCTAATCAAACATGCTTCTTCTCATCTTCCGTGATAGTAATCTGGATGTTCCTTGCACACTTTTCATGCTTGATTTTGGTTTTTTCCTCTCTTGATTCATCGCCCTGAACCAAGCAGGAATTTTGTCCTTGTTGTTGTGGCAGGATAGGGACGAGGAGGGAGAAGAAGGGGATAAAAGTCTTGTAACATGGCTTCAGCGTTTGATCCTGCTCTTGTGCCTGGAAGGAGATGACGCCACGAGGCCTCGTCAATCTTCAGGTATGTATGCCGTGGATTCCTCGGACATTCTCTCTACTCTGGGTGATTGATAGTCTTTGCATGCTCCTGGTCCTTTCTCTGACCAGGATCAGAGGGATTTGATGTGTGCTCTGGGGATTAGATAGATATTATCTGCATGATTGCTGTGGAATTTGTTGATATAGCTTATTTGCTATAGATCATACTGCGTGCTTGTTATTCTTATTGTGTACTGTAGCACGTATAGATGGAGCAACAGTTGTGCCTCTGTTTTTCCTTTTCATACTAGGAGCAATTCTTGTCCTGCTGCATGATTTCCTTCAGCGCCCATAAGGCCAATGCCATACTGTTAGATCACACAAGTTGAAGAATTCTGCATTGTTCTTTTATTAAATTTCGATTTAACATGTAGTACAACTGGGGATTGTTAAAGGCATTGCTGGTCTGCAAGCACTACTACAGAGGAAACTTTCGCATACCCCTTTTGTATGGGCGACGAAGCGTTCCTGTTACATATAGTGCTGTAGTGGACAGTTTTTTTTTTTTTTGTGTGTGTGTGTGTATGATCATGCATTGTCAACCAAATAGAAGAATATGCAGCGCAGATTATTGTACTTGGGAGGCTCTTTGCATACCATGGGAATTTTATTAGTGCTAGTCATGGCGTGAAATATTTGAATATTGCAATTGTCTGGGAAATAAAAGGCAAAAGGCGCAAGCCGCAACGCCACGTAATTGTATGAGAATTTAGTACTACGTGTTATGGCGCAAAAATTTTTGAATTATCGCAACGGTTGTGCGCGTTATCTGTTCAATAAAAGGAGACCGATAAAAGGCAAAAGGCGCGAACTGCCAGGCCACTTAATACTCAGTTCTGAATGTCAACATGTTTGCATTGTTCCATATGATATTTTTGTTTCCCTTTCGCTGATTTATGCGCTAATAATTGCTTGGTCCGTGCTGCTTACGTCATTGTCGGAATGCGCTTTCCAATTTTACAACTGCTCATATTCATCTCTCATCTAACCGGTCCATCCATACATGGCACATATGTTCCATTTTGTATTCTGCAATTGTTTTGTTCACTTTGTATTGTTGCGCTGCCGATTCAGCAATATGTCGGTTATTGTTATTGCTTGTTCAAAGTTAAGTTCAGATAAATTAAAAGCACTACACTATTTAGGTTGCATCTGCATCGCCGCTGCTACAAAAATTACTAGCCTGTTCTGAAGGAGGAGATTTCATACTAGATGTCAGACATTCTTGCAGTAGCTCTAGGAGGAGCTGCAGGAGGTTTGGCATTAGTTGGTGCCATCACACCCATTGTAGTGCTATGCCTACGGCACCGCAGAAGGAATTCAGATTCTTCAGAGAGTAATTCGTCGGGTCAAGCTCTTTCAGGTACCGCTCAAATTAGTTTTTGAGGGGCTTTTAATTTCGGTGTTTTTCAGCTGGTGTCAAATTAGCATTTTACCTTAAAAGACTACTTTTGTTGTGTACTCTAGACGTGCAAGGAGCAAGATGTATGACACTGGAGGAACTAAGGTCTGCTACAAATAACTTCAGCAGCTCGAATCTCGTCGGACATGGAATGTTTGGAGAAGTATACAACGGTTTGCTACAGGATGGCACAATTATAGCGGTTAAAAGGCGGCATTCTCCTCCTAGCCAGGAGTTTCTTCATGAGGTGCCAAAATTTTCTCCTAGAGTAGTGGCATGTTGTAAGAAATCAAAACCTTGCTTCCTGAGATCAAAACCAATACATGAACTCATGGTTGTTGGTGGCCTTTTCTCCCTAGGTTAATTACCTGTCGTCGATCCGTCGTCACCCCAACCTTGTAAATCTCTTGGGGTATTGCCAGGACAATGGCATGCAGATGCTTGTTTATCAGTATGTCCCCAATGGCAGCATTTCTACGCATTTGCATGGTGATTTTTTCATTGTGTGTTTCCTATTTTTAGGTCTGATGTACAAGAAGAGCATCAGAAGTGCTAATTTTTCCTTTCTTTCTGCCATCCCTCTACAGGCAACGGCAATTCTCCAACGGTGAGGCTAGAATTCAAGCAGAGACTTGCTATTGCTCATGGAACCGCTAAGGGTAAGTTTACATCGGCACCAACTCCACATTTCCATTGTTGGCAGAGGCATGTTTTCATAACTACATTATGAATTGCCTCATTTTCAGTCACAAAGTTATACAAGGAATCTTAATAGTATAATGACCTTTCCTGTTACTGTTACTCAGGGTTGAGTCACCTGCATTCCATGACCCCTCCTGCTGTTCACATGAACTTCAAAACTGCTAATGTCCTGGTGGATGCGGATTTCGTACCAAAAGTTGCTGATACTGGCATCCGAGGCCTACTTGATCGACTAGGCAATGCTGGGCCGCCTTCAATGATATTCAATGATCCATTCGTCGACCCCCGGTAATGACTGATCTTGATAGTAGCAAATTTACCGGCATCCATTGCTTGATTTTAATGGGGATTTGTTGCATGACCAGGGGGAAGGAGTCCATGATTTTTTCCATACAGAGTGATGTCTACAGTTTTGGTGTGTTCCTTGTGGAGTTGATCAGTGGAAGGACGGCTGCGTCTGATCAAGGCATTATTGAATGGGTAAATTCTACTGATTCCTGATGATTGTTCAATTTTTCTTTTCCATATCATTCTCATAATATCTATCATCATACCAGAGCCAAGGTTTCAGTTTGCTTACTATCCATCTCTGATATGCAGGTTCAAAACTTTCAAGAATCAAGTGATATCTCTACAATAGCAGATAGGAGAATGACCAGTGGCTTTACCCCACAAGGCATGAAGGAATTGTTGCGCTTGGCATTGCGGTGCGTGAACCCGACAAGCGAGAATCGTCCGTCGATGAGCCTGGTGGAAGCTGAGATACACCGGATACGCGAGCAGGAGATCAGGAGGACGACAGGCATGCCAGTGGGCGACACAACTGTGACCCTAGGCAGCCAGCTCTTCACATCACCAAGATGAAGAAGCATGGAAAGTTATAGCATTTCAAAGGCTAAGCTAGGTTTCCTCTTTCAGGGTTATAGATTAGCTATTCTAGCTCCAATTTTGCCCCATTAGTTTCTTCTCATATTGAGCCAGCTCATCACCAGCTGTGCAACTCAAGTGTACAAAAAAGGAGGAGCTGTTAGGCTTCCCTTTTCACCCCTGGTTTATTTTCTTCGTTATTCGACATAGGGTTTCAACTTGTACAAAAAAGAATGACAATTCTTTTTTGCTAGACTTTTGTAACACCGAGAGAGTAGCGCCAAACTGGTAACTTTATATATCTCTACAATTTTAGACATTTGCCATTAGTAGCATAGTGTTTCCTGACAATCTGCTCTGCATTTTTTACAAGGTTGCTTTGTTTGAAGATCCTTTTCTTGGAGCTATGCCATACCTGATTTCCTTAGAGAGTGCTTATATCACTATCATACATGTCATCTGAACTGACCTCCATTTCTGAATCTAGCCAATGCGACCATCGTTTCTGAATGGCACCTATGGTTGGATGAGGTCATCTCTGTTGACGGTGAAGTCCCAGAGCTCGCCGTACTTCTCGTTGAAGTCCCAGATGTCCATGGAGTTGTAGTCTGCGATGAGCTTGTCGCGCTTGGACCTCTCCATCATGTAGATCTCCGGCTCAAAGTTGTGCGGTTTGTCCGGCTTGTCCATCTCGATGACGCAGAACACGACTATGAAGATAGCTGCCCCAATGTAAAGGTACTCCCCCTGGTGGCACGGATAGACCATGAGTCTTCCTCCGTTCAGTGAGCCCAAGACAGATGATGCATGTAAATAGGAGTATTAGAGGTTAATGGAACTACTCAATCCGTACCGGCACATCGAAAGCCATTCCGAGGATGACTGCGGGAGGGAATGCCCAGGAGATGAGTGCTGCAAGAGATTTCCACTGATGCTAATGAGAAAGGTTCAAGGACATGTATACTGTTTCCAGATAGCAAGAGGCACCATGAGTGAGTGTACCTTGGAAGCCCTGAGGAGGCTCAGCTTCTTGGTACCACTCAGAGACATCCTCCCAGAAGCCCTTCTTTTCTTCAGTTGGATGATTGGTTTCACCACATCACACCAGAATCAGCGCAGCTTTTAGCTAGAGAAACGCATACATATAGTTTATTCTGTATACAAGATAATACACAAGATAAGAGACCTTGGCCTTCATCATAGGTGTGGTGGCCGTCATACACTCCATACACAAAGTCTTCCTGCAAAACAATTTCACTCCAGTGTCATCCCAATTCTTCAGACAACACACAGCAGCAAGAACAAGAAAACCAAGGAAACCGCTCCAGACCGGGAGGACGCCGTTGGTGCGCCACTTGTCGATGGGGTCCTCCTGCAGGTCCGGCTCGATCTCCGTCAGCGGCCCGGGCCCGGCCCTCGCCACCACCGCCCTGCCGCTGCCGCTGCTCTCCCAGCAGCCTGCAGCATGCTTCAGGTGTGGCTTCACCCTTGTGCTCAGCTGCTGCTTCGCCGCGCCATGGCGGGGACAAGCAGCAGTGGCTGCTGCAGAAATGGCGGACGCCAAGCTGCTGCTCATTATCTCACCCCCAAACGCTGTGCCTCCCCTCTTCTCCACACCCTTCGCTTGTTTCTCCTGCACATGTACCTCCCTGCAAACAGACAAGGGCAAGTGGATATGGTTTGGACATGTACCGTCCAGAAAATTTTGCTGCTTTTCTTTCTCCTTTTCCTTGATATCTGTAAACTCGCCAGTAATCAACTCACAGAAACTGTTACATGGCTGGACAAATGATTATATTGTGATTAGTAAACCACCCTGTTAAGTTACTGTATGCTCACAGAACTTTATGTTCACACATAAGGGGAAGGAAAATACCCCAGCAACATGTGGAGCAGAACAGATCCAGCAAAACCAATGCAGGGAATTTCTTTTCTTTATTATTAAATCAATGTGCAAACACAGCACTTCCTTGAACATCTCCACATTTGCTCCAGTAGGAGATATTTAATTCTTACACCACACATCTACGACACCGCACTTCAAATACTACATAATACAGAAGAATCTACGACCAAATCACAGCCGGGTCTCTCCTCAACCTCCGTAGCAGAACTATTCCGCTTCCAGCCAGGATGTACCTGCCCCCTTAAAATGAAAAGACTTAGTGTCAGCATGTCAGCACTTCTTGGAGAAATTCAGAAACCTTAGAATGCCAACAGCTGGTCAGGAGTTTACAAGAAGATTACCTGGTTCAAATTGAGTTTACTAGCTTTGTCTGAATTTCATAACCAGCTCCTCGGTAGTAGCACCAATGATCTCATTGGATCGCTTTAGAGGAACGCAAACAATTCTTCCTATAGAATCCTGAATACACCATCGAGTTTATTAATATGAAAAGAGATAAAAGGGATAACAATACGATGGGTAATGCCATAAAAAACTTTTGGATTCTGTTATTGTTTTAGTGCAAAATCTGCAAATTATGATTGTAAGAACCTTTCATATGACTGCCAATGCAAGTATGAAGCAATACAAGAAAAGGCTGTAAGAACTCACTCTTGTAACAATACCAAATCTCTCTAACTTTTGAAGAGCATCCATCACCTCAAAATTACATTGCAAACCAAACTCTTCCTGGATTAGCTCCTCGCATTGCAAATCAAGATCCTAACATGTTGGGAAACAAAGAACATTCTAACTTAACAAAGCATAATATAACTTAAGAAGAAAAATAGTGGTTTGAAGTAGCAAAAGATCTTTTTTTTTTCGAGAAAACGCAAAAAGCCTTTGCGTTTCATTTCATTGAAAAGTAGCAAAAGATCTGACATACCTCAATAGTAGCCTTTCCATTTTCCATCAATATATAGTATGCGATTATGACCTCCTTGATCTGAACATAAGAAATCGCAAATATGTAAATAAATTGTGATTTGAAAATTCCTATGAACACAAGCCTCTATTTTGCTGATTCTTAGGACCTACTTCCTGTTGAATCACATCATCACAGAGGTGCAGAAGTGTGCCTTTCCCACTATCTAGTTGTTTGTCATACATTGACTGAGTGATTAGGTTTTGATAGGTTGCCATGTTCTTTTGGAACCTGCAGCAAAGGTAAATTCCATCAACCCCGAAAGCAATACATGAGTGTCCTAATTAAGAAGGGCTAAAAGAATTAAGGAAGCAAAATCACATTTTGTGACTGTTCTACAGTAATCCTAGCAGGTCAAAAGAACCAAAAAAAAAGGTCTCCTGGTTAGGTCATACACAAATAATCCAAATTACTGACAGCATGAATACTCTGCCAAATAATACATCGAGTGGGACTCACGAGAAATATATCTTAGCACAATATCCAGCCAGAGCAGAAAGGATGGCAATCACAACCCAGAAATCAGCTTTAGGTATTTCGAGTGAACCGACGAGTGTAACCTGGGTAATGTGATAGAGGCAATCATCAACTGATGAAACACAACAAAATCAATGGATCAAGTCAAACCAATTTCACTCGACTTACAAGCCCAATAACAACAGAAACAATGAACTGAACCCAGTCCATTGGCGTGAGGCTCGGGTTTTTCTTCTCAGGCTACAAATACCATGATTTATCTTCAGCATAAGTCCAGATGAATAAATGAGTATAAATGTGTTCTCAAAGAAAAAACTTTTGGACATAACCACATCTTTTTTTTTAGAAAACGCAGAGCGTCCAGCACTAACCAGAACCAACTCCATATCTGCCATCGGAATATTTTTGAAGTGTTTAACCTGAATTGCTCTATCATCCTGGCCCTTCGGGCTTTTCTTCCTGAAATCAAACATGTGCCATCAGAACTTAGTTTGGGCATGGTGGTTTGTAGGAATCATGCAAGTGACCGTTTCACAACTAAGGCACCAGAAACTGTTGTCTACAACCTCAAACCAAAATCATTATGAGTTCTACCTGTACAAGACAATCACCTCTTCAAATGTAGGCTCCTGAATTGTAACCTTGCCAATTAAATTGCGCAGGCTACAATGAAAGTAGGAAAGTATGAGAGCATAGAAGACGAAAAGATGGCAGCTTATTGGGATTGTGATAGTGTAACAGGATAAGAACAGCACAAACCTCAAGTTCATTGTTTCAAGTCGTATACGTTCAATGTATAGCTCCTTGTCGTCCCCTTCACCAACTAGATCATCATTTTTCTTGGAATCTATCACTGGCTTGACCTTTTTCTTTCTCAAGAAGAGCCTTTGCAGTCTGAAATTACAGTATGAAAATAATGAACTTATGGAATGAGCAAGATAAACTTCGAAGGAAAATAAATGAGTGGTGGATAGCATACCTCGTCTTCTGTAACAGCCATCGCCATGTACGAGTTATGACCATATCCACTTTCTCCATGAAGAAAAAATCGCTAGTGCGGTCCAGTCCTATGCCCCTCCGGAATATGACGTACTGGAACATAGAAGATTATATAAGGTTTGCACGCAGAACAATGAGTTGTATATGAATAATACGAGGAAAACCGAGCCACGGCTACTAAGAGAGGAAAAGGTCTAGGGTACCACATCAATAATAAATGAAAACCTATCCTTCAATTATCTCTTAAAACTAAAATTTGATGAAACAACAGTGAGTGGATGCAGCCAGAATATAAGAACAGACAGCTGCATATGTTTCAAAATGAGGGTGCATCAGTATTGCATATAACTCAGCCAGAGCATTCTCACCTTATCACAGAACTCAGGTAGGTTGTCATGATGGTGCTCCTTGAAATACTTTGACAAAAGTTTGTTGTCTAACTGCACCAGCAAACAACAAAAATGTAATGGCACTGAAATCAAGTAGTTTTGGATAAGGAGGTGCATTCTGGAGTGAGTGGACATTAACCTTTGCTTCGTCAACTTTAATTGGAAGATTCAATAGGTATTGTCCAGAATGAGCAAGCTCAACCTCATCATCAGATAATATGTTGAAATTGCTTTTTTCCATCATCTGCACCGAATTGGGCACTTAAATCTACAACGCTACATAACATATTAGTAAAGCTTTCTCCCAAACAAGTCCTATACCTGAAATAAATAGGTCAGGAAGTTCTGCTCGAGTGTATCGATTTCCTCGGACGAAAAGTTCTGCTGCTGCAGTTTTTTGGCACCCTGCACAGGGTCGAAGAGAGCATACAGCTCCTGTGCAAAAAATTAACATACTGAATACATCAAATCTGCTTCAATTTTAAGCACTGCCAGAAATGAGCAGCTCTTTAAGATGGTTGTACAAATCAGTCTGAACCAGCAAATGCATGAAAATGTATGAAGAATAAATCTTCAGAAAGGCATCCAAGTTCTCACCATCATATCATCAAACTGGAGATGATACCAGGCTCTGATGGTGTACTCCATCCTCTTGCAGAGCTTCACGAATTCCTCCCTGTCGTTTTCGCGCTCTTCATGAAACAGGCAACAGAGTTTGCTTTCAGTTGTGCAGTCCCATAAACCCAAAAAAACGATATCTTTGCTTCGGAATGTAGAAACTAAGACAGGTGAACACATAGCATGGTGGACTACTTGATAGCCACATTAGGAAAGACCCCGCTAGTATGTGTGTTAGGTAGGTGGTATGAAATGTACAAGCACACATGCCTACAGTTATTAGGATTTCTTTGAGCACAATCTTTCTACTTTATTACAGGTAAAGCATGGATCAGTCAATCAAACCAATATGCGTGCTTTCCTTCAGAACAGGCAAAGAACCCAATCTTCGCAGTCAGGAATAAGTTCAAGTACTAAACAAACGCCGTACGGTGAAATCCGTTCTGTGGCGAAAGGGAATCAAGAAACGCGCAGCGCCCATGGCGAACGCCGGACCGGAATAACAGAACAGGTAAAGAAAGAGGGGGGAGTCAGAGACAGACCAATGAGGTAGGCGAGCTTCATGATGAGCTTGGGCTTCATGACGGGGATCACCGACTCGCGCTCCAGCCGCACCACGTCCCTGTCCTTCCCCATCTGGGCCTCCGCCCCCGGCCCCGGCCCCGCCCCCGCCGCCGACATTGCCTACTCGCCTAGCGAGCAAACACAAACGGCAACACCGCCGCCGCCGCCGCGTCGTCCCTGTGCTGGCCACTTCTTGGGGAGGAGGAGGGAGAGGGGATTGGCGGGGAAGACGAGGACGCGAATTGGAACGGCTCGATGCTCCCTTCCCTCGATTAGTTATGGCGAGCGGTGAAGGAGTGGAAACGCAGTACGGTTACAGATCCAAGCACACCAAGCTGTTATGTTGTCTTCTTCCTCCTCGAGCCGGCGAGGGAAACGCGAAACTTGGGAATACGTCTTCCATACTAGGAAGGCGTAGGGTTAAAATGTGAACGCAACCCCGCCTCGCCCTAGGTTTCGATACCGTGTCCCTGACCCCTGCCACGGTCTCCTCTTTCTTTTTTCTGTTCATTACCGTCCGCACCTTTCAGTACGTTACCGCGTTGACAATGATATCCGCTACCATAGTGATGGCATCGAGTTGATTCGCTGGTAAGACAGACACCGAGCATGACCATGGTTGTCGAGGTCCGCCCCTTCACTCATCCTCTTCCTTTTTATCCCCTTCTCATTAACCCTTCTCTCCTTCTCCTCCTCTTCCTCTATCCCTTTCTCTTTCTTTTTTCTGAAATACACATAAGAGTGTGAATCATGCATTAAAGAAGAGGGGGGAGAACCCCAAATCCACCAATACAAAGTTATTTACATGCGGACACGACCGACACCACCTAGGCTAAGCTAACAGTCTATAGGACTACTCATTACCGGCCCACCGCGTCTCCTCCACACCGAATCCACTATCATCACCCTTGAACAGATTGGCCTTTGCCCAGAGCCTCCCCTCATCCCATATATGTTGAATGATCCGGGGTGTTGACGGAGATTCGCCATCGAACAAAATGGCGTTTCAGTGCTTCCATATCATCCACATGTCGAGTAGGATTTAGCGCGCAAAGACTTGCGGTTGTTGCCTACACTATTGTCCTGCCTATCGCAGCACTGACCCAAGGTCTCATCTTGCCGGGGTACCAACTCCATCGTCCCAATGAGTGATCCTAGCACGTGCCAAACTTGCTTAGTGAAAACATATTCAATGAGTAAGTGTTGCACAGTCTCTTCTTGTTGGCTGCACAAGGGGCATGAATCCTGGTGGGGTAGTCCACGTCGAGCAAGCCTGTCGGACGTTCAACATCGATTTTTAAGTGCTAGCCAAGCAATAACAGGCATTGGAGGGGTACCTTAGACTGCCAAGTGTACTAGGCCGTAGGGGATAACTCGTATCCCATGAACCTAGCCGCATAAGTCGAGCGGGCCGAGAAGTTGCCATTCACTTCCCAAGCCCACACGACCGAATCTTCCACTCCATCTGTTAGTTACCAAGCAGTGATCAGTGGCCACAATTGCAGGAACTGGCCCAGAGCCTCTTGGGTAATGTCGGGGTCGATATTGCCTGCTAAGTTGTCCTTCGCGAGTGCGTCTGCGACAAGTCTGCTTTTTCTTATTCTCCTCAGGATCCTTTCATAAACATCTGGTGCGATCTCGCAAATCTGAAGTCCGTTGATCCATTGATCCTCCCAAAATAGTGTGGATCTCATGTCCTTGATCGTCGTGCGTGCAGTCGCCTGGACTAGGGCACGAGCTTCCAGTGGGACATTGATCTGAAACTCCGCCCATGGTCTGTCCTTATCCACCTTTCGCAACCATGGCCACCGCGCTTGCAGCGCCTTGTTCGGCCAGTGTAGATTAGGGATTCCTAAGCCACCGGCCCACTTTGGCGCGCAGACCACCTCCCAAGCTACCGCACAACTTCCACCTCATGCTTCTTTTTTGCCACACCACAAGAATCCTCGGCAGATCTTTACTAGGGCCAACAGGGTTTTTGAAGGTAGCTCCAATGCTAGCATAGAGTGAACGGGAATAGCGCATAGCACAGTTCGTATAAGTAGGAGTCAGCCACTTTTTGGTAGCATGGCTGCCTTCTAAAGCGGGAGACAGTCGGCAACCCGATCCACCAGTCCTTGCAATTGCACCACTGATGGTTTTCTGATTATCAAAGGCATACCCAGATATTTGCACGGAAACAGTGAGGTAGCACAGCCCAAGGATGTCGAGACAGCCTCCATCTCATCCTGCGAGCATCTGATGGACATGGATGCACTTTTACTCATGTTCACCACCAGGCCCGAGGCTTGCCCAAACAACCTCAAGATCGCTCCACAAGTACTCGTCTCAGTTTCATTTGGCTTGAAGAACACCACTACATCATCCGCAAACATGGACAGTCTTTGTTTCAAGAAACTGTTAGTGTAAGTTTCGGGGATGTATCTCATGAGTTTAATTTCTCTAATTTTTGTAGACAACCCCATGATAAAGAATTTCCTGGTAAAGATGAAATTATTGGTCTTGCTTCTATTGTCGTGCCTCCTACTGGTCCTTTAGAACAATATTTGCTAGACCATGAAAATGATATGTTCATGAATGAAAGAAGGGAATTAGATGAAATATTCTTTAAACAAATGCCTGTTTTGAAACACAATTTGCTTGTTGAGACTCTTGGAGATCCTCTTCCACCCAAGAGTGATCCTGTGTTCGATCTTAAACAATTACCTGATAGTTTGAAATATACTTATCTTGATGAAAAGAAGATATATCATATTATTATTAGTGCTAACCTTTCAGAGCATCAAGAAAAGCAATTATTGAAAACTCTGAAGAAGCACCGTGCCGCTATTGGATATACTCTTGACGATCTTAAGGGCATTAGTCCCCACTCTATGTCAGCACAAAATTAATATGGAGCTCGATGCTAAACCGGTTGTTGATCATTAGTGATGGTTAAATCCCAAGATGAAAGAAGTGGTAAGAAATGAAATATTAAAGCTTCTGGAAGCAGGTATAATTTATCCTATTGCTGATAGTAGATGGGTAAGTCATGTTCATTGTATCCCTAAGAAGAGAGGTATTACCGTTGTTCCTAATGATAAGAATGAATTGATCCCACAAAGAATTGTTACAGGTTATAGGATGGTAATTGATTTTAGAAAATTAAACAAAGCTACTAGGAAAGATCCTTATACTCTACCTTTTATTGATCAAATGCTAGAAAGACTATCAAAACATACACACTTCTGCTTTCTATATGCTTATTCTGGTTTTTCCCAAATACTTGTGTCACAAGAGGATCAAGAAAAAACTATTTTTACTTGCCCTTTTGGTACCTTTGCTTATAGACGTATGCCTTTTGGTTTATGCAATGCACCTGCTACTTTTCGAAGATGTATGACTGCTATATTCTCTGACTTTTGTGAAAAGATTGTTGAGGTTTTCATGGATGATTTCTCCGTTTACAGAACTTCTTTTGATGATTGCTTAAGAAACCTTGATCGAGTTTTGCAGAGATGTGAAGAAACTAATCTGGTCTTGAATTGGGAGAAGTGCCACTTTATGGTTAATGAAGGTATTGTCTTGGGGCATAAAATATTCGAAAGAGGTATTGAAGTTGATAAAGCTAAAGTTCATGTTATTGAAAAAATATTGTGTCCTAAAGATATCAAAGGTATAAGAAGTTTCCTTGGCCATGCTAGTTTCTATAGGAGGTTTATTAAAGACTTCTCTAAAATTTCTAGGCCTCTTACTAATCTCTTGCTAAAAGAATGTTCCATTTGTTTTCAATGATGATTGTGTAAAAGCCTTTGAAATACTTAAGAAAGCCTTAATTTCTGCACCTATTGTTCAACTACCTGATTGGAACCTACCCTTTGAAATTATATGTGATGCTAGTGATTATGTTGTTGGTGCTGTTCTAGGACAAACAGTTGATAAGAAATTAAATGTTATCCTTTATGCTAGTAAAACTCTAGACAGTGTTCAAAGAAATTATGCTACCACTAAAAAAGAAATTTTAACCGTTTGTGTTTGCTTGTGATAAGTTCATATTTTTTCTGATGGAAAGACAGTAGGAGAGGCTCCTATTGTGTGTGTATATTTATATATATATATAATGGGTTACAGGGTTACATTTTTGTTACAAGGTGGTGTCTCTCTTTCATCCCTCTCAATCAGAGAGGGGTGGTGGAGGGAAGCACCCTACCAGCTAATACACAACAATAACAGGGAGGTGTGATCAGGCTAGGGAGTTATAAAAAGTAGTTACATTGGTCTTATGGACCTCTTTCGCCCTGTATTGAAGAAGGCTAAAATCTTCTCTGAATCTTGCCGGCCAAGATGCAGTGCTAGGCTAGATCCCTCTAAAGTGCTTGTTGTTTCGTTCTTTCCACAAACTCCAGGCCGCCGTGAGGAAAATTTCCATGAAGAGAGGGGTATGCCCAGCCTCATGCGTTTGATTGATCAGATCAAGTCTTGAGTTGAAAGTAGGCCAACTGACAGCAAGTTTCTCCCAGCAAGAATGACTGAACGGGCAAGTGAAGATCATATGGTCAACTGTCTCTTCAATGTTCTGCCCACAGAGAAGGCAATCAAAGACCTCACCAATGTTGTAATGTCGGTGTTTCAGCATGTTTCTCGTGTTCAATCGGTCGTGTAGGAGCAGCCAACCGAAAACTTTGATCTTCATGGTGCATTTGGACCGCCAAAGGAGCTCGAATGTTGGGTGGGATTGGACATATCTAAAACAGAATTTGTAATAATCGGCTGCCTTGAAGTCCGTTTTCCCCCAAACATAGTGCCAGATGTCAGTGGATGTCGAGGAGGGGTTAAGGTGCGACGCAAGAGATTGTAGGTCCCAAACTTCCACGAGGGCTTCAGGTGAGAGCGGCAGATGAAAGAGCTCATGCAAATACGTGCTCTCCAAGAAATCCTTGACGGACGCGTCTTCATGCATGGCATACAAAAAAGCCCGTGGATGCGAGATCTCCCATCACTACAAAAAATACACTTCCATGATGATACGTGTTTGTCACAGTAGGCCACGTTTTTTGTCATGCATGTACATCCATGACGATTTTATGCCAGAATCAAGATAGTCATACATGTGCTATCGTAGAAGTGTTCCATGACAT